TTTGCAAAAATTAAATCAATTTTTCATTACGTCAATACAATGCATTTTAAATCGTTCAAATCGGATGCTTCGTTTTCTCTTTTTTATTTTTTATTTTTGGAAGATCAATATAACTTACCCTACAGGAAGTTGATAACAATACATCTTATAAAACCATTAAATAACGTATACTTAAAAGTTCTATTTAGGTATCATAAATTAAACAACCGTGCTCAAGAACAAAATATCTAACAACGAATAAAATACTTTCATTACAAAATTGACAATGTGGCCGCTTATATCGTAGTAGCCATTTCACCCGATTTGAGGTAATAATTGGTTATACATCTTTTGTCCTCTACTTTCAAATATTGTTGTTAAAAAATTCTTTGCTTTATTCAAAAATTTCATTTGTTTTGGAGTTATCGGCGGTGGAGCATTTTACCCGTGGACCTTTAAGGCCCGCTCTATCCTAGTTATTTTATTTTGAGTAGTAATATTAATTTAAGACGTTCTCATCTAAAAATTAATTACGATTATGTCTTGCAGCAAGGTAATTAATGAGAATGCCGCTAAATGTACTGGGTTCCGCGCTCTCTTTACAAAACTCGTCCTCTGTAAAATGCTCGAGACATAACAACTGTTATTCTTTCAATTTCTTTCGACGCAGAGCTTAGAAACAAGTCGACGGTCGCAACGGTAAAAAATAGATTTGCTAGCGAAAGTGGAATAGAATCGAGTTATATTAAACATAATATGTTTTATAATATTATGGTCTGTTAAGTCTGCAGCTATGTTACCGTAATAGTCAAATAAAAGACATCGTACTTGAAAACGATACCAACAAGCATATCAAAACTAGTGAAATTTTTAGAAAAGTGCAAGCACTGTTAACTAACTGATCTAACATTTTATAGATAAAATGCAATATGCAAAAATCATATATTATCGTATAACTGATATTACTACTTCCTCAGTGAAAATAAATAGAAATTTCTTAAATATTTTTTATTTTTACTAAAATATTTAAATTTACTACTAATATTTATTACTACATAACATTTCGCCCTATTATGCATTAGGCTAAGTCAAATACAATGCTATATCAATATATGTCTAACTCAAGCACAAGTAATTTTTAAATAAATATGAAAAATTGCAAAATAAAATTTATTATCCCATCGTTTCTTAGAAATCTTTATTGCATATGAGAAAATATTAATTAACTTCCCGTAGGTAAATCGAAATCGAAAATTTTTACATTTCTCGACGAAGAAAAAATGGATGGGTGTGTGTGTGCGTATGTATGTATGGATACAATTTTTCGTCCACGTTTTCGGGCGCACGGATCAACCGATTTGAATGGTTCAAAAAACATTCGATTCCAATTGATAGGGAAATTAATAGACAATGTAACAGTATTTATAATAATCTATTTGCAAACATTCAATATTCCTCGAACATTTTTGTACAGTACGGGAAGTTCCAGCAATTTGCCTTAAGGCACGATGCCATACACCCCACTAGTTTATTTATTAAATTGAGCACTTGAGCGCGAAAAATGATCAAAACTACATAAAAAACACATAATTACGAATATATATAAAGACCGATTTCTCGAATGTTTTTTAAATTTTCAAATTTGATTCAGAATTGTTCGTAAAAAAATATTTATTACATATTACTTACTAAAAAATGACTCGAATCAATCATCACGACACAGCAATTTTCGAAAAAATATCGACGAAAAGCTTCATGTTCACGCACGTACATTTCCAATTTTTATGCGATTCAGAATAACTCGAAACTTTTACGAAACACTAAGGAATAAGCTAGAAAAGTTTTCTTTCAAAAATAAAGATCTCTTGAGAGAATTTAAATAATGAAATCAGCAACACAATGTGTGCTAGAAACTAAGATATGTACAAACTACTTATTTGCGTAATAATGTACCTTTATGTTTTTCTACTTTTGTGTTTTGCTACAATAAATTAAATATTTATAAAATTTTCTCGTGCATCAAGAAATATCATTTACATTATTGTATAACATGCGCCCAAAGGGTTTCAGTCCTCTGCCGTACGTCGATATTATTTAGAACAATCACCCATCGAACCGTAATAGTGCCGTGCTGACATGCAATAATTACATCCTACGATTTGTTTATTTTTTTATATTTTATAGTACAAAAATATTTTGTGTTTTATTTTGCGTACTGTTTTACATTTACTTCGCCGACCGTAGTATGTTCCTTGTTGAAGTGGAGTGGTCAAATGGAGAGTGAGAGAGATTAGACCAAATGATTTATACAGACGTATGCGTATCGACGATGAAAAAAATGAACTAGAAAACATGCAAGTATACGTCTTGTCGAGAACCGGAATCGGCACATACGAAAATAAAAAAAAAATCAAATAAAAAAGACAAAAGCTTCACACGCATCGCCTTCCGGCGATCGATCTATGAATGGGACCATTCGCCATCGCCTGCTGCTTCGCAAGAACCTGCACCAAGTGCCCTGCACCTGAGTATCGCAATGCACTTTTTGTTGTCGCTTGAATTACAATAATTGTATAGGTTTTGACTCTCTTAATTAATAATAATGCATAATATTATAAGACTCGAAAAGTTTTATTCGTTTCGCTTGCTGAACAAATAGAACAACAACTACTTAAATTCTAACTTTAATGGAACAATCACCTAGTAATGAATTACTCAAATCTTAATTGATCAAAATATTTACAGAGCAAAAAAATTAACTTGATTGCTATTACTGCTTTTCAATTACTTTTTTAATATAACACTGATATGTAAAAAATGTCTTAATTAAGTTTTATTCACACAAAAACATATTTTGTATTTGGTCATTATTTTTCAATATATATATATATATATATATATATATACAGTGGCGTCGGAACCGTGTGGGCCTGAGCCCACCCATGAATTTTGATGGGGGGGGCTCAGCCCACCCATCAATTTCAAAAAATTATATGGGCTAATATCTCTAAAAAAAACGAACACACTGGCTGTCTATCAAAAAAAAAAACGAGCCCACCCATCAAAAATTTGGTTCCGACGCCACTGTATATTTATTTATATATATATATATATATATATATATATATATATATATATATATACTAATAAAATTTTCAAAATGTAAGAATTAAATAAATTCGAATTCATTATGACAAAATTATAACGTCTTTTATTTGATTTTCATTTTTTGTTCGACGCATCGGCTGATAAATGCTGACTAATACGTTTCAACGTCGAAAAAACTTAAGATACATATAATTTATGCAACAATTCTGAATTTCTAACTCTAATTAAATAATCTCATCTATAAGTGATTAGTCAATTGTATAATTAAAAATGTTCGACGTAGATAACCAGTTGATACATTTTCTTCACAATTATTTTCACTATACTTATTTATATAGTGTTTTTTTAATGAAGAAGTTTTTAAATGAATTATAACATTTTTAAATATGTATTCAATAAATTTTGAGATTTAAATCATTTATTTTATATTTTCGAGACTATCAAGATTATCATTCGATTAAAATAGTATATGAACAATTTTATACATTTTTTTTTCGGTACTTTATCTTGCAGCTTTATAAAATATTTATTAATAAGTTGTACTACAAAGGGTTACTTTTATATTAATATGATTTTCAGATTAAAAATTGTCAAAGCATCGTACATCTATAAATTTAGCAAAAAAATTATAATATTTACATTATTTAAAACAATATAAATATTATATTATTTAAATTGAATTGTTAATATTAAATGAAATAATATTATTTGAAATAATGTAAATATCTGGTTGAAATGCTCGTTTGAACTTTTTAAAAATATCAGCTGAAAATTTATTTTAAAATAAATTTATTACAGTAAAGTATTTCATTTTTTATTAATCTATCATTGTGATCATTTGAAATTACCTCATAGTCGATTTGTAAACTAAATATAATATAATGATAATACAAACTATTAGTAATTAGCAATATATTAGCAATTAAAAAGAATGCACAGAATGTAAGCGGAGTTAGTAAGCTAAAATAAATATGAAATATTAATTATTAAAGCATACCAAATCTCAAGTTTTAATTCGATTAGTATTTTAATCAAGATAATAAAAATCAATATTCGTTAGTTTATAAATTAAAAGTATTTATTTAATTTTCGATTAACCGAGCTCGTAATTGCAATACTCGCAATATTTCTATTGATTAATACTTTTTTATAGTCCGGAAAAGAACATCTAGTTCAAGAGATTCAAACTGGATTATATTACAGAAAATGCGTTGACATGTTTACATATTAAAAGCAACTTTCAATTACATTTCCAATTTATCTATTTTCTTTGAAGAAAAGCCTATATAAGCGATTAAAAGCAATCACGGGCAATCATTTATCGGAGGATACTTTGCGAGTATGTACTTATATTTATTATTCATCATATATGAAAATTGTTTTTGATAATAACGTTTATGCAATAAATATTAGATTCGCGTACATTACTCGATTCTTAACAAATTTTTAATTTTATATAATTAAAATTTTAAGTCGCCCACGAATAAAATTCAATATTCATTATGTTTCATTGATGCTGTGTTGCTATGCATATAGTTAGTCAATATGTGATTCTAAATCGCTAATGCAAAAAAGTAACAAAAAATGTTTATTGGCGTATTAATAATTTTGGAACAAGTTGAAGGACAGTAGAAAGTAGATCTGATGAATTTCATAGACAGTAACAATTTCTCTATCCCAACTATTTTATCGGCGCTTTCGTAGGTTATGCGGCTTCTGGTGGGGACGGCGCGTATCTATTAGTGATATAGCTCTATATTCTTTGTAAAAGTAACTTATTTCACATCTGTATAAATAGCTTGTAATTGTAGACACAGAATCAGTTCAGTCATCAGTGGTGAATAGAACATAACAACAAGTGTTCTATAAGCATCTAAAGGATTACTTCTAAATAATATTTTATAATTTTAAAAATGAATAATTTTAAGACCGTTTTATCAGCTTTGGTGCTGTGGACCGCATTCGTATGCATCTCAGCGGACAACACAGGATACGTCCGTCAGGATGCTGAAGTTTTAAAACGTGCTTTCACTCGTGATTGTGATACTGGATACAGCCTAAAATGCCTAAAACTCGACGCGGTTGCATTCATCGAAAAAATGGCAGAGACCGAGGAATATACCCTTCTGCCAGGCGTGACTGTTATCAAAGAAAACAGCGCCAACGAGAGCAAAACCGCTGAAATTGTTGCAGGTACAATTTTGCAACATTCGGATACAGCCTTTTAGGATTATGTTACAGTGCAGTGTTTTAAAAATAAATTTCGTTTATAGAGATGGCCAGGAGCTTCCCTAACGATCCCGACAAGCGCCTCGATGGTTATTTGATGAGCAAATTGAGCGGATACCTGTCCAGCCACACCCTGCGATTGAAACTTTTGGACGCTGACACCGCCGAAGAGGCCCGCGACTTGGTCACCGGACGTGGCAAGGGAGGAATCGGCGGCGGCGGCGGCGGTGGCAAAAAAGGAGGCATGGGCGGAATCATCGCTGCTGCTATGATGATGAAAGGTAGAACAACCAAAAATATATTGGAATTTGATATTTTGAACATTTAAAAAAAAAACATTATACGTTTTGTATAAAATGAAATTAAATATGAACATTAATTTTTCCAATGTCATTCGTTCTTATCACTGAATATATACATAAATCCTAGTATTCTAGTGATAACGTTTTCAAATCACCCGAAAATATGTATTCAAGATTATATGTTACATAAATTTCCATCTATTCGCAGGTACATTGATGTCTGTGGGTATGGGTGCTTTGGCTCTTTTGGCTGGTAAGGCTTTGATGACCGCCATGATGGCTCTTATGTTGTCCGCCATCATCGGTTTGAAAGCTTTATCCCACGGTGGAGAAAAGAAAACGACTTACGAAATTGTAGCCAAACCAGTGTACTCGCACTCGCACAGCCATTCAAGCAGCCACGAAGACATCGGACATGGCGGACACTCCGGCTACGGTGGCTACGGCAGATCTCTCAACTTCGCCCTACCTGAGCATTTGAAACACTAGGTCAAACCAATATGAACTGCACCAAATAATTTATTACCACGAACGAATGTTACCTTCCTTTCCAAATATCACTGTGCAGGAACCTAACCTGCACTTTAATATGTGATCTAATCTATCGTAAAATCTATTCTATTTTATAACGAGCCATCTATATCGTTTTCTATATACTTGCCATCTCAACACATAACAAACTATTATTTATATTTACTATTCTTACTCTTTCTTTATTCTTTTTCTATAACTTTCCCTATTAGACAATCCGCAAACATAAATGAAAATTTATGACATATATTAATTTATTTTATTGTTATCGAGTGAGGATTATATAGTTGTGTGTATAGCAAATGAAATTTTACAAATTTGCATTACCTCAATTTAAATTATATTATTGTAATTATTTATTGAATTATTTAATAAAAATATTTAAAATAAACAAACTCTTTAATTGAAAAATCATTAACATGTGAAGTTTAATTAATAAAACAATAATAACGATTTACGAAAACGTTAATATAAGTGTTGATCACACATATAAACAACTTATCTAATGTGATCTAATTATTATTATTTATTATGTTATATAGTATGATTAAATTTATTGATTTTGATATTGAAACATATTTTAGGAGATCTTCAAAAACACTATAAAACACTGATCGAAATTTATAATGTAACAACAAAAAACTAAATGTATTAATATGAAAAAATGCCTAGTATAATATATATAGTTAGTATATTATATTAAAAAAATAGATAAAAATTTATATAAAATTAAATATAAGTTATTTGGACCAATGCAATACATACACAAATTCGCACTTTGCTTATATATTTATTTATTTAATTATATCTTTTAACTGAAAACAAAGATGATAAAAAAATACATTGAATAAAGTCATATCTAAAGATAAATAGTGAAATTTGATAAAAAATGCAAAGATTTGTATCATAACCGTTTAATTAAATACAAAATTTCAATAAAACAGTAATGTTAGTCACATGCTGTGATATTTGCATGAAATAATATTATATGATAAACAGCGTCCCAATTATCAATATTTCATGTATGGGATGTTCAATAAATTAATGCCCAATTTAACTAAAAAGTAGGGCGAAGTAAAAGTTCAGTGAATTAATCCAACTATAATATTATAATATTCTACTTGTTTTAATAAATCAAAAACAGGTATAATTTTAAAATAACTGGCGAAAGTAATCGCCATTCGCCGTGAAATGATTAACACAAATAAATTATGATTAAAAAATTATTAGACTGACGTCCAGTTGATGTCGAACGTGAAAACGACTTTTACGCATTTCTTTAGATATTGAAAAACTATAGGTACGCAAGCTTCACACTATAGTTTTTATACATAACTATTAATAAACAAATAAATAAAATAAATTGAAAATGATAAAAAAAATCTATCCGTAAAATTATAAAGACCAACCGACAATACAACTTTAAAATTATTTTATAATCAATAATGAGACCCCTTCAGACTTATTAATGAAATGATTTTTGTATGCAGTGTTTTATAATACGCACTACCCATTTCATTATAAAATGGTTTCATTATTATAACTATAAATGTTATAAGAATGAATATTTTCAAATTCTGTATAAATATAAATGCACTGGAAAATCTCGTTAATATTAATATTTGGTATAATAGCATATACATGTAAAAAATATTAACCATATTTTAAAAATTTCAACTCATGTAAGATAATGTTTGATAAAAAACAACTTTATCGTGAATTTGTTCAAATTGGTACCAGATTTTAATTATGCCTTGTAAAGTTCAATAAATTTATTAATAAAATTTATTATTTTTAAACAAATACAAGATACAAAAATTATTTATGAGAGTAGTACAAACTCTTCTCTAATAGAAAGCTATTGTACAAAAACATGTTTTAAGTTTGAGAAAAAGAAAATGAAGCTATGCAATTTAAAAATCGTGAAGTACAGAAACATCACGCATCTTACATATGTGAAAATAACCTAGAAACTAAACTAATAAAACTTACTGGATGTGACCGACAACTATTTATTATCCATGATTTGGCCTATCTGCAATTTTTACGATTCGGCATCCGTAAAGTCATTGATCGACCTAAAATACTTATGTGAATCAATTCGTTTTTTTAAATAATAAAAAATGACATTAATTTATATGTATATTCTTAGATACTTAAACTGCCGATTAGTTTCGTAATAAATCTAGCGAAATTAAATGGCATGCATTTACTGTTTGCAATTTTACTCCAATCTAATTACAGTATCTCATATTAGAATAAATATGTATTATTTCCAGTTTAAAAAAATATTTAGATGAAACTACCAGGTATAATTAATCTATGAGCATCATTGTCTATATTACCTTCCCCAAAATTATGAGTTTTTATACCCATTTATATTTAAAAATAAGCTCTAATTTTAATATAGTAGAGTAAAGAAAAATTGAAAATTTCTATTGTATTATTTCATCATTACTATCACTATTTTGTTTTAGTTCATTATACATTATATGTTAATTAAAATATATTATATAATTCTAAATAATTATAGGTTCAATTAAATGCAATAGCAATTTAGTTTAATTTGATATAAAAAGGTGATACAAATATAAAAGGTTACTAGTGGTTACAATTACAATAATTTAATTCAAACTATATGGTACGTCGAATCTTAGGCCGTCATTGAAATAAATCTTACCAATAAATATTGTTTTTTTCATTTGTGAATTTTTTTAAAATTGCTTTCAAAGAAGCTGATATTATGTGTCAGCAAGATAATTACATTTTAAGTGAAATCTAAGGAGGTTTTGTTAGTTAATTTAATATCAAACTAATCAAGTTGCAGAAAATCTATATTTAAATAAAAAACATTCATATGTATATAAACAAATTGAATTCGTCACAGTCATGTTGAAACATGCATATCATTTTCCATATAAGAAATATCATGCTTATCATTACAGAATAACATACACAAAGTTGAAGACTAAAAGTAAGATAAATTGTACATTGAAGACTTTAAACAGTGTTTTAAAGCTTATATACAGTGTTATCTCTGTAAAAAATGTATGAAATTTATATTTTGCTTTAGTTGAATAAATGTGGCTATTATTTCGTGAAATCATTTTGAAATTAAAAAAACGACTTAGGAATGTTTACGCCTGGCCTTGGCCCTTTCTATTTTATTCTATTTTCTAGTAATATTTTATTTTTCTGATTGACATAAGCTAAATCAATATAATAGACATTTTTAAAGATATTCGAACTTTTTAAAAACATGTCCAAACAGTATTATATTTTTTAAATTAAAAAAAAAAACTAAGCAATAGAAAATTAGATATTAGATAACACTGTCCCAAACCTTAGGGGAAAGTCCCCGAGTGCCGGACATCTAAGGTTATTTATAAATAAATCAAAAAATATTTTACGAAATGTTTATTAAATTATGACTTATGTTAGATAACAAAGTAAGAAATCAAACTAAATTCAATCAAACTTTGGTAACAAAAAATGTGATTTTACGAAGTGGCACCTAGTACCGGACATTTCAAAATAACCAGCATTGAACACATATGTATCCATCTTCACACTCTGGAATATCTGCACATTTGTGTTTGACGAATATTCTTGGATATTGCAAAAAAAATCACTAATTATCCACCCTTTTGGCTGGGCCACACCGATGCTCTCAGCTGGAGCATTCATCATAAGATTTTCATTCTTTTCATGTAGTGACCGTTAGCACTCATACAGAACAAAATTAAATAATTCGAATAAATTACGTCCATTCTCACAAGAAATATCAATATGTTTACTTCCGGCGATAAGGGACGGCTTAGTGTCATCTTACGGGTAACAATCAAGTACTACTTTTATTTTTGAATGCCACTAAAAGATAAATGCATAAATACACTAGAATTACTTCCATTGATATTTAGTTGACGCCGTATTTTAAAACAACAAAGGGATGCTCCCGCCGTGACCGTGTGCGTTACAGGTGAGACTTGGCGCGTGATCCTGCACCTGTGTGCCCCCCGCGCCCCTTTCTCTTGTATTTTGAAATAAAAAGATTTATACTCGCTTAAATAATACGGGTTAAATAGAGTGTTTGGCTTTAAGTGCCGTCCGGTGTTACGAGACTTCCTCCTAATTGTATTGTTCGAAAAAATGTAAGAAAGTTTTAATGTTTTCCCCAAAACTACATATGATTATATATAAGTTATAATTTAGTGCTATAAATTATTATAAATATTTTTCACGTAATTATGGGCATGACCATGAATTAAGAACAGTTAATTTGTAATGATAAATATATTCAGTAGCAACTGTTTGAAAGCATTTGCACAATATTTGGCAATATGCGAATATTTGATCCAATAATATATATATATATATATATATATATATATATATATATACTAGATGACCCAACAGACGTTGTCGTGTACCCACGTCCTGTACCACGTCTACGTCACATATATTCTAATATTATCTAGGCTCATAATTTCATATGAATTCAAATTTCAAGTGAATTGACCTTCCTAGCAGATGACAACTCAAATGATTTCAATGTCAAACAATGATAAGTGTTTTTTTTTGTAGTTTTTGCCATTTATTTCTACAATAGTATTAGTAGTTTTATCGTTCATAAAATCTTAAATATTTCCTTTGACAAACTCTAAAAGAAATTATCAAAATCCGAATAACCATTTAGGAGAAGTATCAAATCATACACCTGTACAGAATAATTTTATATATAAGATATATATTAGAGTACGTTTAGGAATGCTTGCACATATGACTGATTTAGAAAAGCGAAAAGATTTTATCTAATTATTTTTAAATAACTAGGAAATTTATTAAATTCGAATGTGCATTGACATACATGGGTATCAAATAACCAGATAATTAACATCTAGTTGGAGGCAAGTTTTTGTTGAGACCCAATAAACATTCTTTTGACATACATACGGCAG